AATGTGTCTAAGGTTTACACTCAGGGTACATTATGGCATGTTTTCTATGTATGACGTTCTCAATATAATTCATAATCCCACGTTTATACTGAACAACGCGTTATGGTTATTGTGTTATTGAGTTACAAATGGTGTATGCACAGCACAGAGAGGCGGGGTGAGCAAAGCTCATTATCATTTAAAGTCATATGCACTGAAACGGCGTGCTGAAAACAGAGCTGTTTTTGACCAGGTAAAATAAGTGTTTTCTTACAATACTAATGAGAATTTTTAATTAAAGTATATTACAAACTTTTAATTTAGACCCTAAAGAATCATATTAGCTTGTACAAAAATGGCATTATATGACCCCTTTAATGATATCCGTGCATCATTAAACGTTAGCGAATGTTTGATTATTCTTTTCAACACTGATTTTAGTTTATCCGCAATCAGGAAACTATATCGCTCAGCAGTCCTTCTCCGAAAGCCGCACGACACACTCCCGTCAGTTCCAATAACCAATTCAGAGGTAATTTGACTAAATATCTAGGATCTGCCGTATTCACACGTGCAATCAAATATATATATACAAGTCCCCTTGAATGCCTCCTCTAGAAATTAAATCAATGTGTTACTTTAGTAGGGACGATTGACCACCATGAAAGGAAACAGTTCATCAACTCAACTTCTCTTAAAATGGCTTCAGGTCAAGCCCGTGGTCTGTAAACCACGCACGTTTATCCAAAGTAATCACTAACTTAAAACAGTGTTTATGGACACACCCAAACTAAACCAGCGTTTGCTGATTCTAGTCGGAAATAACTTGTCCCCTCGTTCAAGTACACGTAAAATGGTATCGGATATTAGCCGTCGCTAAACTGACGCGAAAGATGTGGAAATATACGAATCCAATATGGAAAAAACAGTCTTTCAGAGTCACTCAGAATAAAATCAAACGTTTACAATTTATTGATCAGTAATTGAAGCAATAATTCAAAATCCAATTCAAAAGGATAAAATCGTCAGTTAAACATTTCATCACAATGTTTTCGAAATTACAGAATTTGTAGAAATTATTACCTGTCAATAGAGTTACACACAGTGATTGTGCGGGCAGTCACACAGACTCCCCGAACTTTTCTGCTCTTTTTCCTTATATACCCAGATAATTCAATTGTTACCAAATGGTGATGTCTGTCATTATAATTAGATTTTGGTTGTCTATTCAGGGGCTCACACTGTGAGGTCTGCCTGATTTTACATACAGGAGGTAGTTTGAATGAGGCTATTATGGGACACATCACTTTTCTCACATTTCATAACTTCTTTTAGCTTTTCATCATAGTTGGGAGAATGAGACCATTTTACCAGGCGCATTTTCCTGTTACATATGCTAGAGGGAGTTACATATTCAAGAGATAGTTTAAGTGTTAATTCCCAGGAGGGCCTTTTGTCACATTGAGGGGTCGACCAGACATACTGGCACCACTGCACGACTTTCTGGGGTAGCATTTAATTGCTGGTGTGTTCACACTACACGATGCATCAGCGACAGGGGTTTTCACACTGCATGACTTTACAAAAGAAAGAATCGCCGACAACTTCTGTCTGGTCCGCAAACTACGTTTCACAACCAAACACACACGAGAAGAGTGATAAGGAAATAACGCAAGATCGCGCGTGCGTGAGACCGGAGTTCTCACCCGACACTGAAATTGTTATTAAAAATGATGGCCTGAAAGAAGATTGCGATCCAAATTGTGCTGATTTGCAGCGAAAAGGAGAAATAAAACAGATTATGCAGGAGGAAATGGTTGGGGAGATGTGGGGAGCAAGGATTGTGTGTTCTGCAAAGAGAGTTGGGGGTAAATAAATCATTTTTCAATGTGCTGCAGGTCAAGCAAATGTTTGTGCTTTGTTTCTGTTTGATATAATTGTAATCTATTAAAGTAGGCTACTGATATTCTAGTCTATAACTCCTCCCCGAACATCCCGCTGTCCTGTTTCTTGCTCTCTCATTGGCTGTATAGGTCATCGCTGATGTAGTTTTCAGTCGGAACACATTCACACAGCAGGATTGTGAATCGCCGACAGGTCCAGATATTTAGCATGCCAAATATCTCACGGGCGTCGGCGACTCGTCTGCGATTCTCTCAGATCGCGTCTTTGCTCATTCACACTGCGTGATTGTCACTCGCGTGAACGAGCACCGATTTGCCTGTGATTTCGGGCATTTGTCGGCGATTTCTCAAAACCTGTCGGCGAGCCAAAATCGGGGCTAAAATCGTGCAGTCTGAACTCGGCATTATATGCCTCTTTAAAAATTCTTGCTTTAGACTTCTAATTCGTGACCGGTGTTTTGTTTTTCTCTATCCTCTGTGATTCCACGTTCGTCAATGAGTCATGCGTCGGGTCAGAGGTCACTCTTCAGCCGGAACTACTTGCGTACAGCTGTTACCGTAAGCCTGTATATATAGTTTATATTATAGTTTATAAAGTTATGCATATGGATATTTTTCTTACAAAAACGCATCTCTTCACTTCAGAAGGCCTTGATTAACCCCGTAGAGCCGTATGGATAACTTTTATGATAGATGGATGCACTTTTTGGGCTTCAAGATCTAAGCCTTGATCTACATTCACTCCCATTATAAAGCTTGGAAGAGCCTGGATATTTTATTAATATAACTATGATTGTGTTTGGCTGAAATAAGAAAGTCATACACCTAGGATGGCTTTAGGTTGAGTAAATTATGGGATAATTTTCTTTTTTTTTGGTGAGCTAACCCTTTAACCCAAAACATTAGCTGTGTCCCAATAGAGTGCATATAGTGGGAAACAACTTGATTGTGAAAAAAAAACATACCTGAATAAAGCCAAAACGAATGTGGGTTTGCTAAAAAGGATAACTGAATAGAGTTATGGTTATTAGTTAAATTACCTAATAATAGCCACCAAGATGAGTGATGTTACAGGAAAAGGAAAGCTGTTTCAGATGAAGTTGTTCCAGAGCTACTGTGTAAAGATTACAAAGAATTTTTTTTCCCCCTTTGGAGTAACGTCCACCATTAAATCGTTCACAATAAAGACAGCAACGCACATTAATAAAGTCCATTTTAATTTGTCCACAAATCAGTTAACACAAGAGGGAGCTATAGCTATAGAGTAATTTCACAATCATGTCATTAATCGAATGAATTTAAGGCATTGAATTAGCTGCCATCTATACTGGCCAACTGAACTCTCTTGCTGCTGAAAATATTGTCGTTGTAGATTTTGTTGAGTATGACATTTACAAGATCTGGTGCAAAACACAGAAGCCTAAACATAAATAAAAGCAAATGCTGTCAGTAGAGCTTGTACTGAACCTGGAATATTCCTTTAAAAAGATAGTGATCTGCAGATGGGATTGGTCTCTGAGAGATATGGCAGTTAATCCTTGTTTCTGATATAGATATGACCTGGGGGAAGAAATTGAGCAGGTGGATTTAGGTGGATTGGTCCTAGGTTTTAATGCCATCAGAAGTGGCCTCAATTGAGAAGGAAGATACTGAAACAGAAAGTTTTCAGGTGTGATTTTTTTTCTCTCTTCTGGAACAGTAGGCTATAGATTTGTGAGGGAGGGGTGCTGGCAGCGGCTTATCTTCTCAGCACATCACATAAAGCGTCTGCTTGGTGTGCAGTGATATCAAGCTGGAAAAGACAAACTGATTCAATTATAGCCAAGAGGTGTACCAGAGGTGCTTTTGCCACGCCAAAAAAAAAAAAAAAAACTTCAGTAAATGACCACGCACAACAACACTCGCTTAATCTAGGTCATTAACCCTATTACTGATCCATTTAAAGCAGTAATACAGATACAAATTGTATTAATATAATTTGTTTAAATACCGTAAGAAGCAGTATTGTAAGTTTTCGTAAATTAAAATAGAATGACTAAAACTGAAATAAAAATAAATCTAAATATATATATATATGTATGTATATAATATTTGTCAAAATATTATATTAAAAAACTATAAAAATGACTAAACCATAACACAATTACTAAAATTTTAACTAAAATGAAATTGAAAACAATATATAAAAATAAGAGCTAATTCAAAATATTAATAAATACTATAATAGTGTATACATAATACTAAAATAACACTGGTATAAATCCAGAATGAAGAGGTTTTTATTTTTTTATTTACAGTGTATTAAATGTGGATAAAATGAAATTGATGTGAAAACCCTTTTCACTCTGCATATTTCAAAGGTAAACAATGAGTCCGCACACCAGAAGATGCTCCTAAGCGAGTTTTAATAGTTGCTCACCTCGTGTAACGTTTCGGGCCCAGCCCTTCATCAGACAATTGTCTGATGAAGGGCTGGGCCCGAAACGTTACACGAGGTGAGCAACTATTAAAACTCGCTTAGGAGCATCTTCTGGTGTGCGGACTCATTGTTTACCTTTGCAAATATCTGTCCGTCCAGCACCCAGTTTTATTACTTTGGATGTGCGTGCTGCACTTTTTTGAACTCTGCATATTTCACCCAGAAATGATTTAAAAATGTACAAGTTCTTCCATTATTTACTCACCCTTCCTTTTCATTCCAAATAAATAATTCTTATTTGTATTAATTATGTGATTAAAGAGTGAATAATGACTTAAATATCAGTCTGGCCATCACATAAGCTGTCATATGAGGATTCAGAAGTCTTGGAATATACTGTAATATTGACCACTATGGTGCTTTTGCTTTTTGGAGTGAGATAGAACTCTGTTCTTTTATACGGGTTTGGAACAATAAATGGTTGAGTAAATCTTTTTTTTATTTATGGAAATAAATATAACAAATACAAAGCACAGATCAGTTAGAGCAACAATACGGTTTCATCATGTCTGTCTCATTAAATGTATTATTCACAGGCATATTCAAATTATTAAAATAATAAATGACTAAAACATCAAATGGTCTATCCACAGGTTTGCAGAATGTAAGGAAATATTTTATATATTATAGGCTATATATTTATATAGACGATATGGAAACAAACATAGAAGGTGATGAAAAACAATGGTTGATCTAGGTCTGTCTTCTTCTTCTAAGTTGTCTGAACTCAACGAGAACCTGAAAATAGAAACATCTAATTATCTTTATAGCTTAGTTTACACATTAACAGCAAAAGGATTCCAAAGTCAATTTTTTCTATAATTTAGGACATTGGTTCAGCAGCACAATACTGTTAGAACCTTAGTGATCTGTCTGTTTGGATACATCTACTGCAGTGCTGAATTACTTCATTACTTCTAATAATTAAAATAATGCCAAAAGAGATGAGGTAAATTAGCTATTTTTATAAATACTTACCCATATGCACACAGCACTGAGGACAAGTTTACTCACAGCTAGTCCTACACAACCCCAGAAGACAAAGAGCTCTGAATCATCCACATGAGTCACTGGGATGCTGATGTTTGCCCATGACCCATTAATAAACTTAGTGGTGGAGTAATCAACGATAATGGGTGAAGGTGTTGACACACAATCTGAGGAGACAAATAGATTAGGGTGACCAACAGTCCTGTTTTCACATCCTGTCCTGGGACTCCTGGCCGTCCTGGCTGTTTTTTATAAAGTGATGAAAATGTCCTGGTTTTCAAAAAACTGCTGGGGAAGATCAGCTCTACAGCAAAATATAGATGGGCAAACAAGGAGGATGAGGAAGAAAAACAGGATAAAGAGGAAGAAAACTAAAGATTTTTTTTGTTAGTTCGTTTTTGTAAGTTTGTGAGAGCTATTTTTGTTCAATTTCGAGGTATTTCTTTTAGTTATTTATTATTTATATATTTATTTTTCTAATACAGAAGAGACATTATTTCTATCATTATTTCATTCATTATTTTTGAAACCTGTCATAATAAAACATGTTGAGTAACCTCTGAGAAGCCTATCTGAATTTGTGTCTTGTAATATAACAATTTTCTATCCATACAGAGGCGGCATAGCCTACTTTAAATGTATTGAAATTAATAAGGCATCTTTGAGTAAACTTCGAGTATCATTTGAGTATCTGTTTCCCGGGCCGAGTGTCCTGGTTTTTGGTAATCAAAATATGGTCACCCTAAAATAGATCTATTTTATCTCAGCAGGAATTATCTTCAACAAATGAAATAATGCACAAAAAATTACTGAAAGAACAACAAAGTAAAAAAATATTGTTTGTCTACATTTAAACTGAAAAGCCACAATTATTTAGATAAACTTGCCAAAAATGTATGTTTTGTGTATATACACCATTTTACAACCACAATCATTTTCACTGTTTATTAATATTGAAATACCTGAGATATTCAGTCTAAACGACTTTTGACAGTTCTTTCCTCCAGCCTTGGCTCTAATTAAACACTTGTAGATCCCGGAATCTGAAGGAGCAACTTTCCTCAAGACCAAAGATGCGTTTTTATCCAGTGACACAGAATCATTGTGCTTATCTGTTTGGATGACATTTTCTGACTTTTTGAGGATTGTCATTGTAGATTTGTCACTGCTGTTATTGTAGAACTTTTAAAAAGAGAGAAAAAGAACATAGTGAGTCCATAGCTCTGCTCTTTATTAGAATAGATTGTATGTGATGAATACTAGTTAGTATGTAAAGAACATAGTTGTGGTACCGCAATACATGTTATTGTCTGAAGAAATTGAAAACACACTGTAAAAAAAAGTTGTTGCCTTAAATTTTTAAGTAGGCAACAATCAACTTGGATTTTTAAGTCATTTCAACTAAAAAAATAGTTGAATGAATCTTTTATAACAAAAAAAATAAAGTTAAAATTGTTTAACTTATTTTGATAAGTTAAAACGATGCAAAACATGTTGTCAACTTATTGATCATATAGGCTTTTTTTCTTTTACAGTGCACACTAATTATTTTTAGGCCTAGGGCCCTATATGTAGGCCACAATTTTTTTCCCACATCTTTCACTTGTCTGCATGCACAGGTAAAATTACAAGTACAATTAAGAGGAATGTGTGTAAAGGAAATGTGTGTCAGCATGTTTCCTGCTTAAAGCCACAGACATTAAAGGCCGTTCGAAATTTTCCGTTGGTTTTCTATATGTAAATGCAAGATAAGACGTTTCTCATGCGTTTTACAGACACATGAAGATTTGTTGAATAACATTTAATTAGAAAAGCTTATTTTAATTAGTTTTTCATCACATTGTTCCGCGGCTCATAGGCCTATGTCATGTGTGAGCAAAATTAGACAATACACAAGGTTAACTATAAAACCAATTAGGCCTAGCGTTTTGTTTCATGCAGTCAGACAAGTAAACATGCGAGGTGTTCATCAAATCAGATAAGGACGTTTGAGAAAGTATGCTGTGGTAAATTACATGATATATGGACATGACTCACCTTGTACCACGTAACAGAGGTGTAGTTCTTACAGTTTTGAAGGGCACAAGGCAAAATTATATCAACTCTGCAATCTGCTGTGACGAAGGTGAGTTCATCGTTGCCGAGTCCGACTACTATACTAAGGCTCAACGCTAGAACAGACATTACAGATAAAAAACACTGGGGGGGGGGATCAAGAGCACAAAGAGCCTGACGTAGCTAAACTTTACTTGCTTGGTTTTTGTCAAAGCCTATAGATAGGCTAGCCTAATACACACTTGTTACATGCTGGAGTTATTGCGTAAAATGATTGTTGCCATTTACTGCTTTTAGCTTGGAACAAATATTAGAATTTTAAGGGCCTTTAAAAATGAACTAAAAGCTGTGAGTAAAATAACGAGTAGCCTAGGCTAATAGAAAGCGATATCTTACTCACCCAACACTATCAAGCGAATCATCATCTTATGGTGAAATGCGTGATGCTCGCGGTTCCTCTGAAGTTGCCTCCTGCTTCCCACAGTTCTTAAGAATCACTTTTTCTGAATAACTCCGACAAAAATGGTGTGGGTTTCACAATGCTGTCTTGCCGTTTTGTCAAGATCAGGATCATCTTAACAGCTTTGTTTTATTGCAAAGTATGTAACTCAAATCATTAAAATACACTTGTGCATTGTTTTAACATCAGATTTAAAACAAAAAAGTAGGCTAGTATTAAAGCTGAACATTTCCCCCCTTAGGAATATATTATGCTACTGTACAGTAACGGTAAACAAAGGTGAACAATATTTTGTAGTTGTGTAAACGGCGATTTTCAAGGAATTCAGATTTACAGAATTATGAAATCAAATGGTTTACTCGTCTTCCTAAAGCAACACTGTCCTTCAGCGACACCAGTCGGTAAAGTAAGTGTAGCATATTTTGCCTACTTTGAGCCTAGCCACGCTAAAGGGGGAGGCTATGAAAATGCTACGATTGGCTCGTTTCCCTGTCATTGCAATTATGCCCGCCTAACGAAGTGAATTTAACAAATTAATATGAATTCGAAATTATGTATTGAGAATAAGTATTCGGCTCAGTAAAATTAGAGCAGCATCTCCATCATCATTACACTTGCTGTGTTTATTAAGAATGATCACAGAAGATGACTATTAATAATAATAGCTTAAATCACTTATAGTAACAAATAAAAACAAGAAAAATGCTACTTTATTGTTGTATTTCCATTGCTTTAACACATATGCTACATTTGCAGTATTCCTTTTTAATAAACATGGTGTTATTATTGTACAAAAAACTAACATATTTAGTGATAGTGGAAGATGGTATTCCATTAAACCAGCAACTGTTAATTTACAAAAAATGATTTTTAAATTACAAAACACAGTTAGGCCGCTTATATGCTTTCATCAGTTTCCACAAGTTTTTTCATAATAATTTTTCTTAATCATTTTGAGGTTCAGAAACATGATAACAGCACAAGCCATCAGACTCAGCACACATCCGACTATGATGAATTGATGATTGGAAGATGGTGTGTCCTTCTTGCTGCTTACCGCTTGCACTTGAGGCTTTATGCAGTCTAAGCACAAAAACAAACACACACAAAACTTTCACATCACATCTAGGCTATCATTTAAGGGGAACTGTGGAAATGAAACAAATGTATCATGGTAGGCATACTTCTCCTATAATACTTCTCCTAAAAGTCAAGAAGATATTTTGAAGAATGTTGGTAACCAGACAGTTGACGGTAGCCATTCCAAATGAAAAAAAAAAAATAAACGATGTAAGTCAATGGGGCCCAACATTCTTCAAAATATCTTATTTTTTGTGTTCAGCAGAAGAAAGAAACTCATACAGGTTTGGAACAACTTGAGGGCGAGTAAATTATGATCAAATTTTCCCTTTAAGATTACTGGCAGAGTCTTTATGTCACCATGAACTCAAAATTGACCATTCCTTTTTATGGAATATTGCAATATGCTATTTATAAATGATTTATCCATGCACATCACAAATTTTTTTTATATAGTTTGCGTGCCCTTGTAATCTTTATTCAAAATAACTTCCACTCCCCTGCCTTCTCACCTGCTGAATACTCTGTATTTCCTTCCTGAATGTAATGACCCAGTGGAGGCCACAAGGTGCATCTGTAAACACCACAGTCTTCTTCAGCAGGACCAGGGACCAGGAGAGAGTTGTCCTCCCCCACCTCATAGGAATGATGTGCAAACTTAAAGAGTGTTGTAATGTTTTTTAACAGATCCTTCAAAACAAGTCCAGCCAACACATCAGAACCCTCTTCAACCTGTAAAATAAGCTTGCTTTTATAACACACTGCTCCAGGAAACATTCCTCCTTATATGTATCCAAGGAAATAAACAAAATGTATTGACTGAGCGAATATTATTATTGACAGGTTGCAGCTACTGTTAACAGGTTTTAGAAATACTAACTATTTGAAAAAAAGACAGTCAGACACAAACCTTGTACCAGGTGATTCTCCTGTACTTTACACCTTGTTCAATGTTAGCCTGACATGGTATTTTAATCCAGCGTTGATCCTCATTTGACATTGATAAGTAAACCAGATGGACTGAAGGACAGAAATTATAACATCATTTAATGTATTTATTAGAGGCTGCACTGTGAAAACACACTCAAACGAGATTATTCTACAGCTTTTTTTGTTTTGGAGACGCGAACGCGGAAACTTACTGTAAACATACAGATACTTTCACTTTAGTATAGGCTATTGTTCTTTTAACTGTTACGTTTTACTTTCTTGCAATCATGCAATACATGACGGTGTGCATGTAAGAATAAATGCATATTCTACTTACACATTAAAAAGTAGATGTGCAGCATGATTATGTTTCTATAAACTTTCTCCTTTCTGCAGCAGAACTGAAATGGTGCTGCCTGCTATTTCTTAATCCCGGAAATGACGAGTCGAGTGCGATCTTATTGGTCGATTCGAATAACAACAACAACAAACACAAACGTTCATTTTAGCATTTACTAATTTTATTGTTTGCGCAATTTAATACAGTTATATTTGAAAAGTGTTGTCCGGTAGGCTACATATTGTGAATGAACACCTCCTTTGGTAGCATGCATAATGCACTACTTGCACAACTACTTCCGCGTTCTACTTATTACATATCGGGAGTTTCCGGTTAGAGTGTTCGTCTATGGTTCATCGCACGTCCTTACATGAGAATGCAGATTATCACTACGTTTTATGGATGCCAATTGATTAAAACAATGAATAATGATCTCTGTATTAATTATCTCGAGCCTGCTGAAATGTTCCTATAAATATATTTTCTTTCCAACTGTTACATTCTGAATAAATATATTTATTCACTAACCTGCAGCAGTCCTATGTCTTCTCATTAACAATATTTTTCTCTTAGCCTACTTATATTCTATACCTGTTGAGTTCACATTTTTTAATGAATTTGACTAATAAAAAGTATTTCTTGTGTGCATTGGTGCTTTATTCCTGTCTTTTTAAAATAGTTGAATGAATGAATACTCGCGAGGTGCCTACGATCAGAGATCAGAACCGCACGCAGAGGAGAATGACAGTCAACTTCTTTGAATATTAATTAAGCATTTTGGGCATGAACATGTAAATAGTAAAACGATTGACATTGAAAAATGACACTGAATGATTAAGATATTTAATCCAAATAAATAAATGTTCGTGGTTCGTACTGATGTTATTCATCTGTTCTCACACATTTCAGCGTCGCGGTCACTAGTTTAGACGAACACTGACACCCTGTGGTGAAATAATGGCGTATTTTTAACAGCCGCAGCTTTCTCAGATTGGCTTGGTTTGGATTAAACTTCATGTTCCGATGAGTTTTGAAAATTCTGCACACAGTAAACATCAGATCATCCCTTCTTCTGTCAATAAAAAAGGCCAAAATATAAAATATTATTATAGACACTTTTTTTAGTTGGCGTTTGTTCAACTCATTGACCACAGTACATTGAAAGTAAACATAACCGGAAATAAGTGATATGTATTGTTTCCAAACGGAAGTGCGTCACGAAGTTCAGTGCAAGTGGTCCATTGTAACAGTAAACACACACACACACACACACACACACACACACACACACACACACACACACACACACACACACACACACACACACACACACACACACACACACACACACACACACATAAATAGGTCTACAAACAGGATGGAAAAAAAAAGGGGGTAACTATGTAACACAATTTTTTTTTAATTAACCACAACCTGGATCCTGATAGGCTGGGTTTCTTTCTTTCATTTTCATTTCTCTCTGTGTCTCAGTATCACTTCTACTTTTCACTACAATGGCATAATTGTGAAACTTCAAAACTGGTACATAGACTAAGACTTGACAAAGAATTCCAGTGAAAGTATCAGAATTAGATTAAAACTGAACTGAATAATACAGAGAAATGAATTGAACTGAATTCAAACTATTTTAAGCCAACATGTTAAATATAAAACTGTCCATAACACGATGGCTATATGAATATCTATACAAATACATATTTAGCCTATTGCCTACTTATTTATCCATATACAATTTATAATTTATTCATATATAAGGAGACACATTAACTCTTGCGATCCATAAAGTACATAATTCTGCTACTGACAGCAAAATATTTACAGAGGATGTACAATTTAAAAATGTAGGGGAAAAAATGCAAAAACAAACAAAATGCAACAGTGTGCATTTTGGCCATCCCTCCTCCCCTAGGAATAATCCATCAATAAAAAATAATTAAGAATAGCAAAACCACACAGAAATTAAACAAACACCATCAACACAACCTAATTGTGCCAACAACCTTGTAAACGACAGGCCTGGACTGTTTTAGTGGATGCATAAAACTAAATAGACCCCATCAGCTTTTTTGTGAATCTCAGTCTTTCTGGCTTGACCTTGTTCCAGTCTCGCTTCCCCTTACTTCCTGTTTTCTTCTTGCTGTGCTAAATATGGCTCGATCACACACCTGTGAAAGGAAATTTTATATCAGACAGGCTTCAGAAACACACAAAACTGAAACACTGACAAAACTGTGAAAAACAACTGAAAAACTCTCCCACACAGCCAACACTTAGCAAACAGCCATGAGGTTTATGTCATTTAAATAATCTCTGAAATCAAAAGGTTTGTCATTGTTGCAGCAAAACAATCAGGTGGCAAAAGAATTGAAAATCTGAAGTGCACACAGTCTACAATGTTATCTTTTTGCTATAACACCATCACAGGGTTCTGCAGAAAGAAAGAAAAAAACATTATTTCCTGTGATAGGGGTGGGTGTATGTAAGCGAGGGGGATACGTTAGAAGCGAGGGGAGCTGACTTATAGGCCTCGCCATCTCTGTTTCCTGTTGTGCAACAGTTTCTGAAGAAGTTAAATGCAAAAAAATTAAAGAATAAAAAATATTCGCTGCAGGTCTGTGAGCTACGGAAGCGTATTGCATTCACTTGAAGAAAAAAAATCTACTCTGTTTTTCCTGAATTAACAAGTTAATTATCTCAGAATTCCGAGATACATTTTTCATGGAAAAAAAGTTTTTGTTCTGTTTTTCTGAATTAACGAGTTAATTATCTCAGAATTATGAGATACATTTTTCTTGAAAAACATTTTTTTCACTCTGTTTTTATGAATTAATGAGTTACTCATAATTTTGAGATAATTAAGTCATTAATTCAGAAAAACAGAGCAAAAACTTTTTTCCATGAAAAATTATCTCGTAATTCTGAGTAAAAAATATTCGCTGCAGGTCTGTGAGCTACGGAAGCGTATTGCATTCACTTGAAGAAAAAAAATCTACTCTGTTTTTCCTGAATTAACGAGTTAATTATCTCAGAATTCCGAGATACATTTTTCATGGAAAAAAAGTTTTTGTTCTGTTTTTCTGAATTAACGAGTTAATTATCTCAGAATTATGAGATACATTTTTCTTGAAAAACATTTTTTTCACTCTGTTTTTATGAATTAATGAGTTACTCATAATTTTGAGATAATTAAGTCATTAATTCAGAAAAACAGAGCAAAAACTTTTTTCCATGAAAAATTATCTCGTAATTCTGAGTAATATTGTGAAATATTAAAATAAAAAAAGTTTTCTATTTTAAAAGATTTTCTATTTTAAAAGCAAAGCTTTTCAGCATCATTACTCCAGTCTTCAGTGTCACATGATCCTTCAACAAAAAATGCTGCTTAATGTTTTGCTAGAAACTGTGCTAATTCTGTGATGAATAGAAAGTTCAAAAATTTGAAATATAAATCTTTGTTAATTTGTCCTTTCTAAATAAAAGTATTCATTTCTTCAACAACAACAACAACAACAAAAAGAATGACCCAAACCCCAAGTTCAAAAATGATCTGATATTATCACGTGGGCAAGCATTGATTTAATTCCAGTTGTTTGCATGCGTTGCGCAGTGCTGTTTCCTGGAAATCATTGTGGGGAATGTGAAATAAAGGTCATTAGTTTCCCCGATTGGAGCTGCTATTATACTCACCCCCACAGTTACAATGCAAAGGATGATTTTGGCCATGCTGAAGAGAGAAAGGCAGAGCACAACCCAGTGAACAGTTGTATCTTCTGCAGCAGGAAAAGAATCATCATGGATCATGGTGGAGGGATAAACTGTGCTCACAGTCACATCCAAACATTCTGAAAATGAAGAGAAACATTTATTAATACTTAACTTTCTGAGATCTCGCATGCAATTACAAATTTAATAAGAAGAGGTTTGGTTTTGGTGACACCAACATAAAGAATATCAATAGTAAAGTCAAATAGATTAGAAAACGAACTAGATTGAACGGGGTTCTAAATTACCTGAGATATTCAGTCTAATAAAAGAATCATCATTTCGACCCCCAACCTCTGCAGCCAAGTAGCATTTATATTCTCCCGAGTCTGAAGGCTGCACGTTATGTAACTTCAATTCCTCTTTCTCTCCCAGAGAAACAGAAGTTAAGTTATTAAAAGTTGTATCCTCTCCATTTTTTCTCTTGATGATAGGAATAGGCTTACTCTAGAAAGAAAGACACAGCTGTGTTAGGGGATTTTGTTGTGGTGTGGTGTTTTCTGGTTAGTTGGTTGGTTGGTTGGGCAGACCAACCAGGTCAAAATGTTTCACTTGCTAGATGATATGCCACTGAGGTGCAGAGTTTCTTCTCATCAAATGAAATGCTCTGTTTGCTGGCTAACTATTCTTTTTAACTTAAAAAAAAAAATCATTGGTAGAAATAAAACAAACTGACAAACACAAGCATTTTAATCAGCCCAGTCTCATCCCAAGACGTCATATGTCTGACGCTTTTGACCATACGTCAACATCCGACGTTTTAGGGTACCCTTTAACGTCAGTATATGACGCTATGAAATCCTAACCCTACCCCAGACCTAAACCTACCCGCGTCATCTAACTGACGCCAAAGGTAAAGCGTCAGACATATGACGCCCTAAGATCGTCATCTAACTGACGTTAAAGGGTACCCTAAAACGTCGGATGTTGACGTATGGTCAAAAGCGTCAGTCATATGACGTCTTGGGATGAGACTGTGTTATTTTAATAATGCCAAGCAAATGAAGCCATCAAGGTAACTCACCTCTATTCTGTACCATATGACATAACGGTACGTTGTTGTTCGGTCAGTAGCTTTACAAGGTAGTCTGATGACATCGTTACAGCTTCCCTCAATGGAGTCCACGCTTTCTGATATCCCACAGTGCAATGCTGCCATTGCAAACAACAGCAATGCTGTAAAGAGGGACCAATAACATCAAACTAGATGTTAGTATTTCTCCAGATACTTACAATTCGCATCAGCAAAAAAAAGTTCAACTTTGGTAGTACTGGGGTCCTTGTTTGGATATACACTACCATTGAAAAGATTGGGGATGGTAAGATTTCTAATTGTTTCTAATTTCTAAAAGAAGCGTCCTAAGCTCAAGCAAGGCTGATTTTAATGGTTAACAGAAACCAGCACTGAAAATCCCTTAATATACAATATGGATGTTGGTCTATCATTGTGTTGACTGTATGTCCACACACTCTAATTTTAAATACTTGTCCACTCATTAAAAACTTTCACAGCTTTACTGATGGTGCTAAAATCTAGCTAACCTAATACAGATCAAATAAAAAAATAAAAACTCCCAAAATGTATGGCTATGTGGATTCAAATGCTATTTAGACAATAGTATTCATTAAAAAAAAGCTTTTTATTTTAAGCATGTTTAGAAGTAATTTAAAGGAATAGGTTAGGGTTTGGGTTAGGGTTAGCTAACCTTAGCTCCAGTGATTGTAAATGGAGCGTTATTTGATCACTTTCTAGGCCTATATAATTCAGGCACAGTTTGAATAACATTATTTCCATCCTAATGAAAGTACAATGTGAAGTTGATCGTTTAGTTACTGGTCTGATTAACTGACACATAGACAAAGAACATCTGACTGTACATGAATCATTGCATATCAGAATTCACGGGTCACAAATCAGGCATTAGAATTAACACAGTTTCTTACATGTTGTCGCATTACTGTCGAGTCCATATCCTAAAAGTCTGTTTGCAAATATACTAAATAATCCACAGTGAAATGCACCAAATACAAATAAATAATGCTCAATTGAGACATTCACATCTTGCCGTTCCCGAATCCATCTTTATTGCTTGCTAGCTCTAGTAACCCAGCATTAGCATCTCTCTGTTACCTACTACATGGCATGCGCGATTCGGTGGGCAGTGCTAAATAGGCAGTGATATAGAAGCAGGCGTTGATCTTCTGCTGCAGAGGCGGTGTTTAGCCACACTTTTACGTAATAAAGTGACTCATTCCACTACCTGTCGTTTTTGCAGATTGGCTCCAATATAAGCTGTCTAACGAGAAAGTTTTGATTTCTGAAACTTACAGGATGTTTTATAGTACAATGATCTCTTATATGTCAAAAGATTTTGATTTCTCAGTTCACGAACCCTTTAAATTACTATGTAACGTCAAACTGACCTGAAAGCTTCTACAAAATAGTTGAGTGGGAGATCAGATTGTTCCAATTTTGAGACTCTAGTAGAGTATGATTATTGTTGAAACAAGGCTCAAGTAACTTGTTGCTTGTTTGTTACAATAGCCGCCTAACTAAAAGAAAATTGTCTTCACCTTTCTTCACTATCTCTATATATAATTCCAGGGTTTTTCCTGCATTTAATTTGTTTTTTTTTTACACATTTTTGTCCCGCCAAAGCCTTATTAGATCAGTTATTGTGATTTATGAGTGTGGTAGATGATTGCTACACTTGTGACAGGGTGAATGTTAAATGGATAGTTCACCCAAAAATGAAAATTACTATTATAAAAATTATGATTTACTCACCCTCAAGCCATCTGTGTATATGACTTTCTTCTTTCAGACGAATAGAATCGGAGTTAAATTAAAAAATGCCCTGGCTCTTCCAAGCTTTATAATGGTAGTGAATGGAGGATATGATTTTGAAGGCCAAAAAAGTGCATCCATCCATCATAAAAGTACTCCACACGGCTCCGGGGGGTAATAAAGGCCTTCTGAAGTGTTTTGTGTAAAAAATATCCCATTCCGTCAGACGGCCGTACGCATCGATTTACTGCGAAAAAGTGACCCTTGACTTGACGCATGACGCATTGACAAACGCGGAAGCGCAGAGGATAGAGCAAAACAAATAAACGGTAACGAATAAATAGTCTAAAACGATAATTTTAAAAGAGAAATGTCGGAGGAGCTTGAGTTTGTTGCCCAGCCCTGTTTGTTTGAACTACGAAAGGCCTCAAAGCTTACGCTACTCCTACATCCTACGTCATACATCGCATCAAGTGTTAATTTTTGGCGCAAGTCGACTTGCGTAGGCCGTCTGCCGGAAGCTAGTAAGTTGATAAAGTTATAAATATGGATATTACACAAACGCTTCGCTTCAGAAGGCTTTTATTAACCCCATGGAGCCAGATGGATTACATTTATCATGGATGGATGCACTTTTTTGGGCTTCATTCACTGCCATTATAAAGCTTGGAAGAGCCAGGACATTTTTTTATATATATAACTCCGATTGTTTTCGTCTGAAAGAAAAAAATCATATACACCTAGGAAGGCTTGAGGGTGTTAAATCATGGGGTAATTTTCATTTTTGGGTGAACTATCCCTTTAACTGAGAGAGCGAGAACGAGCAAAGAGACAAGTTTGGATTAACATGTAACGTGGATTAACATGAACAAACAATGAACAGCTGTATTTTTATTAACTAACATTAACAAAGATTAATAAATACAGCAACAAATGTATTGCTCATGGTTAGTTAATGTTAGTTAGCAAATGACTGACATGTAAAGCAATGTTCATTTGAAAAAAGCACAAATCAAGTTGTTGTTAGATAGCTGGGTTTTTTCTTTTCAATTATAGGCTATATGGTAGAAAATTAGACTATTAGTTAAAATAAACTTTTTAATGCTACTTTTTTAATTCTACTTTTTAATATTGAGATGATTATATACCAAAATGTATCAGGTGTAGCCAAGAAGGATTTTTTCTTACAAAGCTATGCAATCCAGGGCAAGAAAGGATGACAGTCTTTCAGCCAACTCCGGCGACCATTTTTGACCCAGGAAAAACCCTGAATTCTATTATTTTGTAAAACTAGTCACTTTAATATTTTAACTTATAAACCTCAACCCCATTTCATTAACAGAAAAGAGAACAAGACTATAAAGTGAAAATCTCTTCCCTTCTGTGTGGCTCTATAAGTCAGGCATCTTGTTTACAGCGTAAATCAGCATCCACGAAGCACTTAAAATCACCACACACATACATTTCTGTGGAATATTATGCATAAATAATATGGTATTTTGTATTATTAGTTATTTTAAAGAAGTTATGTTTCAAAATTAGTGAAAAAGCTTCGTGAGCTAAAGTAAAATATTCTGAAATAATGTCTGATTTGGACTTACCTGAAATATTTTGGTGTCCCATTCTTAGTTCTTTACCGTGGGTAAAATGTAGCCATCAGTGATGATGGGGAAACAGCTGTTTCTAATCACTCCATCTACAAACAGAAAAAAATATGTCATCATTCTGAAACGACTCGGAGATTCTGCTTGAACAGTAAAAAATGAAACTATATGTCGTCTCATGTATGCCTCAATTCTGCCCTCTAGTGACTAGTGCTACTGTGACACGATGGCAAAAAAGGTTTTGCAATAAACACAATATAAAAGAAAAAGATAATTGACTTGAACCAAATATTTTTTTATCAGTTTTAAACTCAATCATGGACTTTCATGCTATGCAAATTTGTCTATTTCATCACTGACTTAAGTATCTATCCATATCTTTCTGTTAAGTTCATAATGCCTCATTTCTGTACTAAAACACTTTTATACTTTTATTTACTTGTAATAAAGATGTATAGAAAAACAGTATACCTTCTCTGTCATGATGTCTTGAACCCATTACATATTTTTAGCACAGTCAGCCCCTGAAAGTTGTTGTTCAAACCAACAACAATTGGTCAAAAATAACAATACAAAAAGGCTATTAAACACAGGGAAATTTAATTCATAAGATTCATAAATATGTTTTCACTAGTGAGAACTGAATTGATCACATCATGGCATATTTGACATGTTTGTCGAGTCTAATTCTGTTAAATGTGATGGTATAATGGAAAGACTGACAGTTTAGAAACTGCTGCGCAGATAAAGAGCTCAGCAAAGTGGAAAAAATGAGTGTTTTTCAGAGCACATTTTGACAGTTTTATAGGTGATTGGAAAAAACAACAACTTTAAATTGGGTTTAGTCAGTGGTGCACTTTGCACAATGGAACATTACAGTCATCATTATGTTGAACTAATAATGTTTTGAAAGTATTTGAAAGTATTATTTAATAAAGACATTCTTAATGTAGCTAATTACATTTTTGATCATACAGAATGACATTAGCTATAGCCACCTGCTCCTGTGGAAGTTACAGATAACTCACAAAAGGTTTTCACCACTATCACTGTTCTCTCTCCTGCTCTTTTGAAGTCTTTGTTTTCCTTTGAGTCCCATTTGCAGCCACAAATGGCTGAATCACAGAGCTGTAAAGCTGCTCTTCCCCTGCAGTAAATAAGCTGTCTGTGAAAGTGGTTGACGCTGGACTTGCTTTTCCTCAGTCCGGAACTCAGCCCTCTCCTCTCTCTGGACGCAGAGACCCTTCTGCCCGTGACTGACCGTACGACATGCTTTCTCTTCCATCCTGTTGTTCTTCATGTTGGGGATCCCCTATACTTTTCTCCTTTCCCTCCCTCCTTCATACTATCCCTCTCACCAGCTCCTTTTCTTGCTGACAGGATAGTGAGGGATCAGGATATTAATAGGAGGCTGTATGAAAGGGAAGAGGAAGACAGCGAGAGAGGGTTGTGATTACGCCATCTGGATTAAACAATGCCTGTGCTACCTCAAGACGGACACAATGAATGAGAGGGCAGGGGGAAGTGAAAAAGGAGGAGAGCCTTGGCTTCATTTTACCATCTATACAAAGATTTCTGCACATTATATATGAAGTGTGTCTTCTCTAACCCTGAGTTCTGGACATCTGTTTGGTTAGCATCTACAATTTTGTGTGAATTTACAGTTTATTCTTGGCTAGTAGTTACTATTCTTTCACGATATTTACAGTAGTAGTTCTAAAAATACATGACATAAACTGCAATCTTTTAGATGCCACAGACCCCCAAATATGATCATTCTCATTTGACCCCAAACTTTTTACGAATAGCCTACTATGAATTTGGACATGCTCTTTTCAGACTCTTTTCACATAGGCCTACAGTTTTTCACATATGGAAGTAGGCACATTCAGAAGCACGGCGTATCTTTGAATAGGGCTAGGAAGTGACTGATTGTAATACATTTAAATATACAGTTATCATCGAGCTACAGAGGGTTTTTGCATTGTCGATCAACAGACTTCATCTCTTGGTCAAATTATGCAACTCTCTGGGCAATTCAACTGTTTTACATTTGGCGAATTAGCAGCTTTCAATGGCCAAGGACCGCCCAGAGGCCGTCTGACTGACATGTAAAGCAACCAATCATAGATTGTTTTGTTCATGTTTAGGGGTGTGAACATGTAAGGTCAATGTCCATACAATAAAAGACCGGTGTGTAAAACTCTTAGACTCTTAGTATTTTAAAGAGTCTATGCCGTGAACTTTACACACTTTTGAACAAACAGTGTTTAGATGATCCCATTCACAGTAACAGTTGTAAACATCACGGCGTTCTTCTTTTATGAGGGGTAGTGATCTTTGGTTCCAGGCGGATCGTTAATGAACACGACACACGCGTCTCCCGGACATCCTGTAGAATTCAACCAATCAGATGACGACTTCAAAAATCCTGAAGTGTTTCCAGTTAAAGGTGCTCTAAGCGATGTCACACGTTTTTTAGGCCAAAACATTTTTTGTCACATACAGCAAACATCTCCTCACTAACCGCTGGCTGCCTGTCCCCTGAACACACTGTAAAGAAACGCGATCTCTGTAGACAGCTCAGGCTTCACAAACAGCAACAAAAACAAACTGGGCTAACCCGCTCCACGAAACATGACAAACAATTCCAGCCAATCACCGACAAGAAGGACTTGGGGGCGGGGTTTGGGGGGTTAGTGCGCGGATGAGGAGGAGGGAGGGTCTAGCCAGCCCCCGTTTTGTTTGACAATACTTTAAACGTCAACAAGAAGTGACGTCACCCGACATCGCTTAGAGAACCTTTAAGTGTGCCATGCCATCAGACGTTCAGCCAGCGGTCCGTGGCCGTGACGTTTTATTTTGCTGTTGCTTTTCATGTTTTGTTATCACTTCAGTTACTTGTTTTGTAGTGTATCTAAAATGATGACAGCAGCTGCTCATTCTAAAAATTCACCATGATAACAACCACTGCTCACCACAACCACCCCGTCTTAATGAGATATTCAGTACCATTATGTACAATATTGCCTTATAGACCTAATAACTAATTATGGTCAGCTTTAGAAGTCAATCATGCTCAGGTAAATATGTCCACATAATATAGTGCAAGTGACTGTATCAGCTCTACTGGCACTTTTTACTTGTATAATTTGCTGTGACAGATAATTATCTTGTTTGTACTGATTTCACTGTAAAAATGTGAAAACAGAAAATAAATGACTGTTAAATTTGGTACAGGCCTGTTTTACAAGATCGTCTTTGTGACTTTTTATGGAATTTAACATCTGGACACCGGAGATGTTCAACTATTGGACATGTAAAGCACTTTGAGGGCAGGGAAAAGCTCTATATCAATGTAACGAATTATTATTCGACATGAGTGTATTAGTGTGTATCATATTGTACGAATGGCAAGAAAGGAGACTGACGTAATTAAATAAGAATGAATAAAAAATAAACTGCAAAAAGCTGTAAATGAGTTATATCTGTTTGCAGGTATAGTAATGTTTGTAGTCATGGAAATATTGGTTTATTATTTAGTTTGACTG